CAAACCTATGATGATTTTTTTTTCTACTGATACTAACAAGCCTATAGCATTTTCTGCTCAGAAAGGCTTAAATGCTCAATTGTGTGTGAGATGACATAATGACAAAATGGCAAATGCAAAAATGGCTCCGACTGTTTTTTTTTTTTGTTTTTTTTTTTTAGTAAAATGTTCCGTTTGTACAAACAATTTCTTGAATGCAGGGATAATACAAGTATGATTAACCCAGACCTAAGCTGCTTACTTGCCATTAACATGCGGTCTCCGTGATCTGATCAGGCAGATCGGATCATTAGCCAGTCAGGACATGCCACGTTTTTTCACATAAGTAACCTCTGTATCTGGATATCTGATCGGATTTCTGTTTCCGGCATAATATCTAAATTAGGTCTGTGGCATGACACCAGGTTAAGAGTAAAGATGATACAAATGTACCAATTGCTTTCACTCACTCACTTTACTTTCCTGCGCAATCTCCAGTCTTAGATCAAATTAAGTTTTTTAATGAAGGAATAGAGTTTAACTTGATCATACAAAAATAACTGATCATGTTAATCATCATCTGGGTTTAAGGTTATAGCCTGCAATGACTATATTGACAGAAATGGGAGATTGATAAACATGCTGAAACAATACAAACATTCAACATTTAAAACATAAAAAAATTCAGATTTCGATTCATCTGGCATGCAGCTCTTCATTAAGATCTCATGACTGACTGATTCTGCAGGCGATCACCTCGTTCAGATAATGTTGCACAATTAAATTGAAAAATGACACCCATAGTATCATGTAAGTCCAATAAACTGAGATCCGATCACAATGCGTCCTCGACTACTTCCGAACCTGGACACGCTGATAACACTTGTCTTTTCAATGTAAACGCAGCCCTAGATGCTTGTATGAATTGTATGAATATAAGCAACATTTTGTTTTGTTTATTGTACTGAATACTGAAAAATGTGTTTATTTGCAGATTGATGTCAGTGTCCTACTGCTAATGACTGATGACCAGATGAGAAGCTATTTTCCTTCATATGGAGACAGACTGGCAGTTTTGGGATTTTGTAGGAGGAAAGAAACTGAGCCAACTTGCAGGAAGTCAAAGCTGTTTGAGCGCCTCAAATCAAAACTTAGCAAAAGACAAAAAATTGACAATTCACAAACTGAAAACCATGCAACTAGAACAAACATCTCTCAGCGTACTGAAAGAAAAGTTGAGATTGGGTGGATGCACTATGATGGACAGGGCTTTGTTCAAATGAGAGCAAAAAAGGGAGGGGGAACAAGGAAGTTGAGTGTGCCAAAAGACTGGAAAAGGAAAGAACTGATTGAGGAGGCAATTCGTTTGTTTTTCCCGGATGAAAAAAATTCTCATGGAAGTGTTTCTGAGTTTGAATTGGATCTAACAAATTATCAGGAAGTGTCACTAGATCATGAAACTACAGTGGGGGAAATGTATAATGCATCCAAACTCACAATGATGAGGTTCTACCTCACAACAAGAAAGGTCGCGAGGGAAGTGGAAGCAGAAAGTGGAGTGGAAATATCAGATTCAGACACAATAGAGGACTTGCACAGAAATAATCAGGATCAAAATCTTCCCACTTCTTCCAGAAGAATGAATGACCTCTTTCAAGCTTCAGACACAGATTTAATTTTTGTGGAAAGTACAGACAACGACGACACATCTCCCTTACATTCCGCAGAGGATGTAAATTTGACAGATGATCTGAATGTCGCTTTTCAAAGTTCATCAATGACCTCACTGGATTATTTTGATTCAAGCGATGTAGTGACAGTTTTCACTGGAGAAGTCACTGAAATAAATGAACAATCCTTAGATGACACTTTGCCTCTGAGCCCGGAACCCATAGTTCCTGACAAAAAAATTCTTGTTGTTCATCGTGGACAGATATTTTCAGAACTTATTGCACATTTCTGTGATGAAACCCTTGCACACACACAGAGTGCTGTAGAAGTGAAGTTGCTCCTCCCAAATGGACAGTTTGAGATGGGCCATGACTTCGGTGGAGTGTTCAGAGATTGCCTATCAGAATTTTGGCAGGAATTTTATGATCAATGCACACTGGGAAACAATTTTAAAGTTCCCTTTCTTCGGCATGATTTTGGGAAAGAAAAGTGGGAAAGTGTTGCCCGAATAATTCTGTTTGGCTGGAAGAAAGAGAAGTATCTTCCAATAAAACTGGCACCTGTCATCTTGGAGCAAGCAATACAAGGATCTGTCAAAAGTGATCTGATTGACAACTTTTTAAAGTATGTCTCAGAAAATGAGTGTGCTGTCTTAGAAAGTTGCAGAACAGACTTCTGTAGTGCAGACCAGGAGGAATTGATCGAGATCTTGGACAACTACAGTTGTCGTAGAATTCCAACAGAAGAAAACTTTGTGCAAGTTTTGCAAGAACTGGCTCACAAGACTCTCATTCAAGAGCCTGCTTATGTTCTTGAACAGTGGATGAGCATACTTGGACCTCTGAGGAAGGACCTTCAGGAAATTGAAAATGTGTATTGTGCACTACAACCAACAGTGAGGAAAATTGTGCGATCTCTCAAATTCCCTGAAGCAATGAATGCACACCAAAAGGACATTTCAAAGCATTTGACAGCTTACTTGCGGGAGTGTGATGCCAAACGACTGTCTCTGTTTCTGAGATTTTGTACAGGATCAGATTTGTTTATAGATAAAACTATAACAGTTGATTTCACAGACCTTAAAGGGTTTGAGAGAAGACCAGTGTCACACACCTGTGGCTGTTTCCTGAGGCTGTCAGTACACTATGACAACTATCCAGATTTCCGATCTGAAATGAACAAAATTCTTGAAAGCAATGTCTGGGTAATGGACATAATTTAGCTGCACTGGCACATACATTGGAAAATGTCAGAAACTGTTTATGGCCAGCTCATATCCTATTTTGCATGGGTCAGTCTTCATACACTTAAAATTTATTATACACGTGTATGCATGGAGTAAAACATTCACTTTAATTTGAATGGTTATTCACTTTAAATTACAGGTTACACTTAGTTGTTGGATGTCGAACAAACTTTTTTTCTGAAGATTTATTTTGATTATGACTTTCAATAGTGAAAACGTAATTATTTAGTTGCAACCTACTGTTTGCGTTAAATTTCACGGGTTGTTCATGTCAACTCGTCAGTCAGATGGCTTTGAACTGTTAATTAGTTAATGGTTCATTCTTCATACATTTACTCGAAAAATTAGAATATCAAAAGTTCATTTATTTCAGTAATTCAACTTAAAGGGTTAGTTCACCCAAAAATGAAAATTAAGTCATTAATTACTCACCCCCATGCTGTACCAACCCCGTAAGACCTTCGTTCGTCTTCGGAACACAAATGAAGATATTTTTGATTAAATTTGAGAGCTGTATAACTACCACATTGGCTCCTAAAGGACTGCCTCTTGACGGCCCAGAAAGTCAATGAAGAAAATGTTTAAATATCCCAAGTGACTACCGTGGCTCAACTATATGTTTATCAAGCGACGCGAATACTTTTTGTGCGAAAAAACAAACAAAAATAACGAGTTTATTCGACTATTTCTTTTCTTCCTTGTAGGCCAGAACGAGACTTCCTTAGATTTCCACGACGCATGCGCGAGAATTGCGATCTGAAGTAGTGTAAGCTGGTGTAAGCAGATCGCAATTCTCACGCATGCGTCGTGGAAATCTAAGGAAGTCTCGTTCTGGCCTACAAGGAAGAAAAGAAATAGTCGAATAAACTCGTTATTTTTGTTTGTTTTTTCGCACAAAAAGTATTCGCGTCGCTTGATAAACATATAGTTGAGCCACGGTAGTCACTTGGGATATTTAAACATTTTCTTCATTGACTATCTGGGCCGTCAAGAGGCAGTCCTTTAGGAGCCAATGTGGTAGTTATACAGCTCTCAAATTTAATCAAAAATATCTTCATTTGTGTTCCGAAGACGAACGAAGGTCTTACGGGGTTGGTACAGCATGGGGGTGAGTAATTAATGACTTAATTTTCATTTTTGGGTGAACTAACCCTTTAAAAGGTGAAACTATAGACTCATTACCTGCAAAGTGTGATATTTCAAGCCTTTATTTGTTATAATTGTGATGATTATGGATTACAGCTTATGAAAACCCCAAATTCAAAATTAGAATATTGTGAAAAGGTTTTCATAAGCTGTAAGCCATAATCATCACAATTATAACAAATAAAGGCTTGAAATATCACACTTTGCATGTAATGAGTCTTTTAAGTTGAATTACTGAAATAAATTAACTTTTGATATTCTATTTTTTCAAGTTTCACCTGTACTCTACATTTATTTATACATAAAGTAAAACATTCTCTTTGTTTACTTCCTTAGTTGTTGCTGGTTATGTTTAAATTCAAACAACCTTTTTTTATTATGTTTTTGATCATTTATTTTATATTTTGTTAATGAATTTCAATAGTGAAAGATATCACATAGGTGCAACCTACTGTTCATGTTACCTTTTCAGTCAGATACTGTAGATGGCTTTGAACACTTATACAGTGTTCATAATTTAACTTTGTGCTTGTATACAAAAGGGTGTCACATTATTGTGAACCTTTAGTACATGCTATAGGTTAAACTGTTTTGTGAAATTGTTTTATAGAAATTGTTTTACTGTGGTTTGTATTATTCTTACTTGTACCACATGTTGTCATGTTTGGTTAACCACTATGCATAAAATACCAACACAATCTGCATACATGGTGCCAATGTTTTTTGTGCATTAAAGATGGAGTGACTTCCACAAACCAATAAATAATGCACAATAAAGTTTGCAATTGTGACTGTCTTTTTTAAAGAATATTCCAAATTCTGAACTTTTAAAATCTATTTCAGTTGTAGCTCTGAATAGAGGCACACAAAACAGAAAAGCCGATGTACCATGTAAAATTAGTACAACCATTTAGGTTCATCGTGAGTGTTAAATGATTTAGAGAACATACAGCACTGCCATTCTGAGAAGAAAGTTTAAGGTTTTGTTTTGAGCAATGTACCACAACAAGGTTACAGTTAATAATCTAAATACCATAAGAAATTCAGTTCTTAATAATTTATTTCAGGGATAATACAAATAACATCAATTTACCTATAAACCCATTTTTGTTCATATTTTCAGTCCCCTGCCCCTTTAAAGTCTTGAAAGTCAATGTTAAACAGAAGAGAAATCCATCAAATTTGAACAGTTTCAAGCCATAAATACATTAGTTTTTAGGTTCAAAACATTGTCTTGACTTGTCCATCTAAAAAGGCTTGCTGCACTTCATTTGTATTCAAGTTTGAAGTATTGACAGTATAATGCAATGCAATAAATCATGCATGTAAATTACTGTGGCTGGAAAAATAAAATAAAAAATAAGGCAAACTTTTTACAATTGTTTGAAAAAAATTCTAAGTGTTTTAATTACATCTATGCCTCTTATTCTGATGGTTGTGCTTTTGCCATGTTATAACTCTGAAAATAAACAGATAACAAGATATCAATTTGACAGCATGCTAGAAGCTCCAGTGAAGCCGTTGATACTCTGTTGCCTCATGAATGGCTGTGACCTAATAAAAAAATTAAGTTTTTTTCAAGTTCAAGTTTTATTCCAATTTAAATATTTTGGTCATCTGAAATACTAAAACAATTGAAACAATACCTTCACAGCTTATAGTGATGTTTATTAATTTAGAATGGTGAATCTAGTCCTCAGCGTCCAGTCCTTGAAGGATCAATTCGCGAAGCTGGAGGTAAAGGTCTGTAATTTCATAAACATCATCTGACATGACAAGGTTATGCTCAGTCATGAGTTCTACACACAGTTGAAAGACATCCTCGTCACAAGGATAGTCTTTAAATAAACACTCCTCTTGGCAAATATTCAGTTTTGTTTGTTCAATTGGATGCAAGAAATTCTGCACTCCATATAAGCTGGGAACAGCAAACATTATTGAAGGTCGACCACTGGGAGCACGTGGGTTGTGAGTTGGCCGTATCCTGTGGGAATTCCAGGCACTGACAATTTCATCAAGCTCTTCCTTCATAAAACAAAAAGGAAATATAAAAGGATATATATATTATATATATATATATATATATATATATATATATATATATATATACACTGTATATAATATTGTCTTGTCAAATTAATTAACAAAATTATGTCATTATACGTCAAAAGTTATAATCCAAATTCAATAGGCCATACTCTCTATAACCACTCTGATAGTGAACAAAATTGAATAAAATAGGCCTACCTGAATAAAATGTTGGAAGCAAAACTGGATGAGAGATTTATCAATGAAAGTGTCAACAAAATGTCCGTCTTCTTTTAATTGTTCAAAAAGATCCATCCAAAACTGTATGCACTGGCTTCTCAAAGTGGACCACCATCGTTCAATTCTCTGGTTCCCAGTGCTTGGACCAAGAGTGACACATTCTGCACTTGCAGTGTTTCTGAAAAATGTTTGCATCTCTGCTATATGAGTATTTTCAGTTCCGTGGTCAATGCGAATTCTTTGTGGAAATCCGTTATTCTCAGCAACAGCATGTACAAAATAACCTGCAATTACTCGTGGGTCATTGTTCGTTTTGTATGCTTCAAGCCAGATCATTTTTCTGGAAAATCCATCAATGCATCCGTTTATACATATTCCGTAAGGTTTTAATTTGTCGTACCCGTCAATATGCCAAACATAATTTGGCCCGCGACTGTTATATACGCGTCTGCGTAGACGACCATGAGCACGTAGATCAACTCCTTGTCCATCTAACAGTCTCATCAACTGACGGACAGTTTCTCTGTCAGTAATAATTCCGGACAACCAACATTTCTGGTGCATCCATCGATAACCATGTTGCCGTCCCGATGTCTGAAGCTGCTGGTGTATAAAATGTGCCACTTCAGCCTCGTCCGTTTTGTTGCGTCTCCGCCACAACTGATTCCTGCATAATGTTCTCTCAAGAGTCCGGAGACTAAGCTTAATGTTGTGTGATTCCTCCAATAAAATCAAGATTTCTCTATTTGTGAAACCGAGGCGAAAATAATCCTCTATAATCTTTTCCATTCTAAATGCTATAAAATGATATGTTCCAGCGTCCCGTGTTTGACTTGAGTGGTGAATGAAATGCGAGCAAAGTCAAAATTACGAGTTTATACCTCACAATTTTGACTTTTTATCTCACAAACCTGACTTTATAACTCGCAATTGCGACTTTATATCACGCAATTCTGACTTTTTATCTCGCAATTCTGACTTTATAACTCGCAATTGCGACTTTATATCTCGCAATTCTGACTTTTTATCTCGCAATTGCGACTTTATATCACGCAATTCTGACTTTATAACTCGCAATTGCGACTTTATATCTCGCAATTCTGACTTTTTATCTCGCAATTGCGACTTTATATCACGCAATTCTGACTTTATATCTCGCAATTCTGACTTTATATCACGCAATTCTGACTTTATATCTAGCAATTCTGACTTTATAACTCGCAATTCTGACTTTATATCTCGCAATTCTGACTTTATAACTCGCAATTGCGACTTTATATCACGCAATTCGGACTTTTTATCTCGCAATTGTGAGAAAAAAAGTCAGAATTGTGAGATAAAAAGTCGCAATTATTTATTTTATTTTTTTATTCAGTGGCGGAAACAAGCTTCCATATTATGCAGCTTACATGTAAGGGTGAAAATCTTAAAAGGGATATTTTAATGATAGTAAAAATTCTGTCGTCATTTACTCACCCTCATGTTGTTCCAAACCTGTATGAGTTTCTTTCTTCTGTTGAACTAAAAGGAATATATTTTAAAGAATTTTGGTAACCAGTAGGGGTGGATGCGTTTATTTATTTATTATTATTATTATTTTTTTTACACTTCCATTACTCATTAACCCACCATATCACCAATCCTGTCCTAAAGCCACCTAATATAAAGTTTGACCAAAAAAACCCAACAATATTTCTGTTGTGTGACTGGAAATTCATCTCTGAATTGTTATTCAGTGAATATCTCTTCCTGTCATTCCAGTTCAACACGGGTGTGGGGAAGTCAACTCAAAATCCAACTCATGAAGAGAGCCAATTCCTAAATTCAGAACTTTTGCCCAGCCCTGTGCCTTAGTAAAGAATTCAAGGATGCCGCAAATGTTTTCATCCTTTTCTCCTCTTAGTTGCGTGCTATTGCTATGGACTGCTGTACTTAGAATTACTTGGAAATTTGAAGATGCTGTGAGAACATGAACATGAATATAGAGTGTCCTTGTGTATATATTATTCATAACTCACTTACCCATGCACTTTACGAAAAGATGATAACCTGCATGGCTATTATCTGTCTCCAGATGGTTAGAAGATAGCACTTGCATGTTCAGCCTTTGGAAAAACATAGTAATAATGTAATTTATAAGCCAACATCGTCTTAATGATGTCTTTATTCACAATTGATCATTATTCATTTGATACCACAGCCAAAATAACCATTTCAAGGCATATTATCACATGTGCTAAAAAAACAAAACAAAAAAAAAACCATAAAGGTTTATCCATTTACCTTTAGTCTACATAATGTTGCCAGTTGCACTGCACATTCCTGCTCAACAGCCCGAAACCATCCCATCAACGCCATCACAAAGAACTGTGCCGTCTCTAATTAGAGGAAATGTATGGATCATTATCCCGTTGGCCAATTAGCATTATTTAAATTAGTCCCTGCAATTGTCAGTCATTAATCAGCACATACTGAGGACTTTCTACATTTCGTCAAGCCTGTCAGCTCACGTAGAGTAGATTTTTGTACCCCTTATTATTTCAAACACACAATCACCTGACCTGGTCCAGAGCTCAGTCCATGTGAATGGAGGGGACTAAACCTAATTTCTAATTATTCAATCTGCTCAACTAACAATGTGGCTTTGAAAGCCTCTTTTGTCTGAGAAAGGGTCTTTGTTAGCAATGGTTTCAGAACTTGTGAAATTGTGAGTAGATTAAAGTTCCAAAACTGAGTTTTGAGTTATGAACAGGAAAGATAAATCAATTATTCATTATCTTGGCAGTGTGAAATTTATAAAGAAGCGATTAGAGACATTTGAAAGTTTCTGCCCCTTGCATTGGTTTTATGTCAACAACCTTTTTCTTGCCATTCCAAAATAATTTATTATAACTTTATTATAACTTTATAATTATTATCACACTATTTTCATTCTCATTATCTGTTGGTACTGAGTTTGTGGTTACAAATCTTAATCCATAATGACTGTCAAAATAATTTTGAATTTCTACAATTTGAAAAATGTTCATCTGCACAGATTACAGATCCTATTTAGAAGGGCTTTTAAACGTGATTAACATCAAATATAGCCATATAAAGTTGCCAGATTGAGTGTATCCCTACTATCACCCGTAATACAGTGTGGCCGGGGTTTGGTCCTACAGTATATATATATATATATATATATATATATATAGAGAGAGAGAGAGAGTATCTCACTGTACTGTACAATTGTAATACTAAGAACCAAATATTTTCATCTAAAGTCACATACTTCAAAATCACTGTGAACATGATGAGCTCTTGCTGCTCTCTGGTCACAATGTTCTTTTTCTTATGGAAAAAAAAAAAAAAAAAATTGGCCTTTGCCAAGACGGTAGAAATTGAATTCCATGTGTGAAGCACAAGAGACTGGACAACATAATACTATTACAGTATCAGGGCAAGAACCAATGTGCATTGAGCCTAATGATTGAATTAGTTTGACCTGTTTTTCTTTTTTATATTAAACCCATTTTCAGAAAATACATATTAAATCTAGTTGGACTGGTACAGATACACTGTTTACTATTTAAAGGCAGGGCAGGCAATTTCAGCGAGGCTAGCAATAGCCAGCTTTGAAAGTATAAGATCCCACCCTCTCTTCAGAGTGTCTCCAAAGCCACACGTCGTTCAAAACACATGAACAACCAGAGCAGAGTCTGCAAAGTGTCACGAGAGACGGTGTTAAATTACCTCATGTCTCAAAGCACATTACAAAAAAAAAAGTGAATGTAAACAACTTACAGAGCTCTTACTTGTACCTAGGGTGACCACCTGTTCCGCTTTGCATTGTACTGCACAGCATTTTCACCCCTTGTCCCGCACATCGCATATTGAGGAAATGTCCTGCGTTTTCATTAGTCTATTGGTTTTTAATTATCATATTAAGAAAACGTGCATTTCGTTCTTTTGCCTATTTAAGAAAGCATTTTATTTATTATTTTGGCAGCATAGTTTTTCACCTATATTTTACAGCTCTTCGTCATAAGTACAAATACAACAGACGTTTTTTTTTTTTCATATCCAATGGTTGAAAAGAAAGGAGTAAACACAGTCACTAGTCGGTTGTGACAGCTGTCATGGACCGATGATTCGTTCCATGTGTTCCCTGTCAGAAAACAAATGGATAAATTTGTCAATTCAAATTAATTATTTAATTATCAATTTAATTATCAATTTAATTCAACAGAATGTATCTGTTGTTGTTTAACCTGTTGTCTGCTGCTGATTTGATTAGAATACATTATATCGGTTCAGCTGGTCGTATACGGTCTAGCCGCAGAAGGTCAGATATTTCAACACATCCAAAGCTCAAATCGGATCTGAATTTTCTGCATACGCATATGATCGGAACCCTCCACAGCTCCCATACGACTCTCCACTGGAAATGAATGACTTCCGGTCCAATGGCTGTTGTTTGTCGTGTGCTGTGGAAGGGCATGAACCAAAACAGAAACGAATAGTTCACCTCCTGAGTCATTTGTTCTTTTGTCATGTCACGTCACAGCCGTATTTGGATACAGAAATTAGTTAATAATTCCCAACCTTCCATAAAAAAGCGCGTAGTTCATTTTTTTTTTTTTTACTGTTACAGACATACGTTGGGAGGTGAACTAATCATTTCTGTTTCCGGCACAGACTACTTGGGTTCAACCTATGGGGATGTGATGTGACAAAAGAACGAATTCCTCAGCTCAGGAGGTGAGGTAAACTAACAGACTGCAAAGCCCGAAGACCTTCTAAATGTGATCAAAGTTTGGATAAGTTGATGTGTTGTGGAAGTTGGCTGTTAACATGTAACATTTCGGTTATATTCTTCTGAAATACAATGATTGAAATGACTTGAAAAAAGATTCATTCATAGTCAGTAAAATGATCCTTCCCAACACTATTACAAATGTGTCTTCCACAGATGATTTATGTCTTTAAAAAAATAAATAAGTAAATAAAAAATATTTGGACAACTTACAGTATTGATTGCTATCAGGAGTTTTAACCACAGTAACAAAGACTGATTATGAAAAAAAAAAATGCCTACCCTAAGGATTAAAGCAACAATGAAGAAACATTAAAAAAATATTTGAGAGAGGAGGAGTGAATTGAATTCACTTGTAGAAACAACTAGGATTATCACAAACAAAATAAACAGTAACTTATGAACTAATTTACAGGGCTGACACATGGTTTTGTGGGGCCCTAGACAAGATCATGGAAATTGGCCCCACTGGGGTAAAAATGTCATAACATTAAACCTACCACTGCAAACATGGCAAGAAGCTTATTTTTAAAGAGAAAACACTTAACATATGAACACTGCACATGGGTAGTTGAAAAATGACATGTCCACAAACTTGTTTAATATTCAATATATTGAGATGTAGATTAATACATATATTGTTATATAATACATTTAAATATATTTCAGAAAATGCACTTATGGTGTGATGCCATTAATTCCTAAAATGTTTAGAATAAAAGCGTTAACAGAGTCAAATATATTGTGCATTTAAAATGGTTTTAAACTTGAATATTTGAAACTTAATGTCCACTACCCACATAGCTATATAAATGTTTAGTACAACATAATAAATTAACATGTGGGAAAGAATTATGCACAAAACTGATTGAATTATCAGTGAAAATCAGGCGCAGCAAGAAAAAAAAAAAAGATACATCACTACATACAGAAAACATACAGAAAATAAATATAAGTAATGACTAAATAGAAACACGCATACCTTTTAAAGATGGGTTAAAATCATGGTTCGACATAATAATCTTTAACAACTATTTTTTTTATTTATTTTTTTTTTTTTTTGATGATTACATAATTCATTGTTGATGTCAGTTACCCAACAACGAACACATATTAAATGAAGTTGCCTTCATTTATATGTCTGTCCCTAGAAAACATGCAGGATAGTTATAAATGTCTTCTACTTGACATCTATGTAATGGTTCAGTAAATCCATCCATGATGTCAATCAGGATATACTGCTGTACATAAACCTTCTCTTCTCTAGTTCCTTTTTTAATATAAAGGCTTCAGAGTCGTATTTGCTTGAATGTATTTAATTTGACATTCAAGAAAATCAGGTCCTGTATCATTGTGAAAATGAAAATATTAACAAGCTTAGACATTATGTTTCTTTTTGTATGCGTCAAGATAGATGAAAAAGTAATATTGATATGAGTCAGTATTGTCTGAAGGCAATGCAACATCAATTTTTATCACCAGCTCAAAAGGAACCTCACCCTTTGTGTAAAAATATTTTCCCTCGTACTACTGCTTGATTACCGAATCCGAGGGTTCGATTTGAAAAATCATTTAAATAGTTTTGAGCATACAAAGTTTAGATTCGAGGTCTCTGAAGCAATCTCCTCAATTATGAATTATTCACCAGATATTATTCCAAAGGTCATCTTATAGTAATTAGTATCCTGCTGTAGACAAAACAGCCTCAAGGTACCTGATGGCCAGTTTAATTACAATTTAAAATGAGCATGCTGTTTGACACCCTCTATATGTTCAACCAGCGGCCTCTGCAGATGGCACTTTGAAAACGAAGTGCGTCTCCTCTAAAGAAACATATTTGCAAAGTTAACAAGTGTTCTTGAAGCCAGATACAACTGAACAAGAAGAAGGTGTGAGTTGCTTGCAAATCAGTTTCCTATTTGGAGCATTGAGGCCTTTTTCAGCATCATAGTGGTTTGTTTGGTAGCGAATTGTATTTTCAGCTTTTTCCAGGGACAAATTACAAACAGCTTGCTCTGTGATTCAATAGTAACTTTGTTATTACTTTGTCTCCGTAACAGTTTAAACTCTCACTCGCTCTGTCTTCCTGTATTCGCTTCTGATTTAAAAAACTATTGCTGGATTTAAACGTTGGGTCAACACAGCAATGAGACATAAGCCACACTGCTGCACTGCCTTCAGCAACCCACTTGAGCAAAAGGAAAAAGCTTTGAGCCGGAGATCTTCAGCGGTGATGTGATGACCCCATCTAGACGCCCTTGATGAGATACTCTCTCTGTACACATAAGCCCCCTCTCTGCAGACACAATGTCACCGCATAGTAACCTCGAATCTAGCAACTCGTTTAGCTTCTGCGCTCAAATCGGGGACTTATCCTGCTCGGGGACGGAAACTCAGGTGGGCTTTAGCCACACAATCAGTTTGAGCCACAGTAGTACACTCACTATCTCTACAGGTAAAGAACGAAACGGACATGCTGAAAGCGGTTGAAGTCTTCTAGTCCTCATTTTGAACCGCTACAACTAAACTGGGTTGATTAGCTCTATGCTAGCCAGTCATGTTTCATTCATCTAATAAAATGGCCATGGGGAATAATGCTCGGAAAGTGTGGAAGGGCTTCCATGCATGTGTGACTGCAAGACCCCATCTATAACCTTTTGCCCATTACCTTTTATCATGTCTCCCCATGCATATCAACCCATTGTCACTGCCGCTTAATGTCTCCACATGCACTCTCTGGTTGCACACTCCCCAAATGCAGTTTTTATACTATGCACAGACACAATTGTTTAAAATCCCCTCTTTTCTGATAGCTCAACCAAAATGAAAATCTGTCATCAATCGAATATTGACAAACCCTAATGTCATTCTAATCATGTCTTTTTTTTCTTTTCTTTTCTTTGGAACATAAATGTGACGTGATCTGGGAAAACCCACCACATGGTGAAATTTGACATATTACAGGTTTTGAGACCATATTAAATCTGGGTATAAGCCCTTTCCAAATCTGTTTTTATTTATTTTATCATTTGTCTGTAACAAAAGTTGTGGTTATCTGAAGTCGGCTGATCGCTGTGATTTTCAGAAATGTAATTTTGAGAAAAAACAGGTTTAATTAACGGTGACGTCCTGCTAGCGGGACGACTGGCGCTCCTTTTTTATTGCCTTTTTTTAATATCACATATTTTAGTAATCATCATAGATTAGGTATCATTCGAAAGCTTACAAACTCAAAATTCAACCTGTGAAAACTGTTTTGAAATTGGACGATTGAGAGGCGAGCAAGGTGTTTTAAACTAGCAGCTTCAGACTCTGTTGTTCACTTGTGCTCCGCATCACACCTCACGATAACACTGGATAAAAATAAATAAATAAAAACTTGCGGGCTGTTGTAGTTCACCCAGGACTGGGCTTTATTCTATTTTGTGGTTTATTTTGATAGGTGAACTGTCTTTGTAGTGTTAGGAGAAGGAGAGCTAAACAGGAGATATTGTTTTTGCCCCTCCGCTCCGCCTGCGTGTTCTTAAACAGGGATGTGATTTTTCCGGATTAATCCGGAATTCCGGATTTTCCGACCTGAAAATGTGACCTACGTGAATCATGCAGATCTGTAAAAAAATAAAAAAAGAGGGGGGCGGGTGTCGGCAGCCGGAGTGAAAAGGAGAGAATATGAGGACATAACCCATAACTGGCTGACGTGCATACAGAAAGTTCCTTTCAAAGTATCAACACGGACGTATTTGCGTTCAGCCAGAGAATGTCTAATTGGTTCAGCTTGTTCACCTGCTCAATTTCGTATCTCAGTCGCTCTCGCGCCTGGTATCATTGTCAGTTGACAAAATCACAGTTAGGTCACCAGGGCTGGGCGATATATCGATATATTTCAAATTTGCGCTATGATCCTTGCTCCAAGCAAGCTGCTGACTGCTTTTGTAGAAATATGTAGCAGCTATATCGTGCATTCTGTCAGTTGCAGTCCTGACACCTCCGTCTCAACAGCATTAGTGTACAACGCGACAAATACTTGCAATATTAACGCAGAGGAATATATTTCCGGATAGCTCCATATATTTTCCTGCTTTTTTGTCCTTATCCAATCGCATGCCTGCTTAAAGGACAACTCCAGTGCAAAATGAACCTTATAGTCTAATTACACATTGGTACATAGTCAATCGTTCTCTGAGATTTGTTTTCATGATCGAATGTAAAGAGTTTTATCTCTAAAAACTGTTTAGCTTATAACGCTAGTAAATGGGGCATAGAGTAATGAAAAGAAAAATCGCTAGTTAATACCACCAACAAGGCTCAAAATAGCCCAACACTAACACGGTAGCATAATCAGGATCCCTACATGCAAAGCGAAGCACTGAAAACGTTGTAAGTGTACCGACCATTTAATAAGAAGATATTTTATAAAGACAGTCCACTTGAGACTGTTTTCCAAAAATGGCTCAATGCTTCGGTTTGCAGGACCCTGATTATGCTACCGTGTTAGTGTTGGGCTATTTTGAGCCTTGTTAGTGGTATTAACTAGCGATTTTTATTTTCATTATTTCATTACTCCATTTATTTTCATTGCTACCGATTTCTATTTTCATTACTTCATATTTAGTAATTTGAAATAAAGTTGTAAAAACAACAATAAATATTAGATAAAAAAAGATACTAAAATACTGCCTTTTCGGACCTTGACACCTTTAGACCTTAATGTTTGGGTTCCGTTGACTTATATTTTATCTGATTTTCTGTTCTTCAGAAGAAAGACATACACATGAGTAAATATATATATATAAATTTGACAATGTTACTTTTTGAGTGAACTGTCCCTTTTAAAGTAGCATTTGCATGATGTTAAACTCTTTAAAAAAAAATTCCTCTATCTGCATTGCAGTCTGGATGCCCAGTTTTTTTTTTTTTTGTGACTAACGAGGGAAAGGAAGGATAATTGAGCTCACCCCTATATGAAAGCTCACACTCATATTCACATACGTGCTCGTCAAGCATTAAAAATGTAAAGCCAGCGGAAAAAGAGTGTAACTAGGCAGTTCAGCAAAATGTTCAGGAACTTGCAGTGCTGTAGGTAGACCCTTTTGCTCAGATAATCTTTATTCATTTGCTTTTTTAAGGCTCCTTTCTTCCTCCCACCTCTGTCTTGGGCTCGGTCCAAAGCTGCAGTACTGCATATTTGCAGAGCACATAATGGTGGTTATATGGCCAGACTCACCAATTATTCTTTAGTCCACCTAGGTGGCCTCTTCTCTTTCTAACTGAAATCTCTCAGGTGTGTTTCCGAAGCCCTCCTCCTACTGAATCAATGGCTCTAACGGCTGTATAACTGCTTTTGTCTGTGCAGACGGACTTAATCATGAGTTCCCCCTGCCTTCCTTTTCCGCAAATAGACAGTGTTTCTTATGCATATTGCTCGCTTTCCCTAATGGAAGCCGGTCCATAACCGAACCACGTTTCTTTCTTCTTTTTTTGTTCGCATTCTCCACCACCTGCAGTCTACATCAAGGCTTTTCTGTCCATAAGAGGAAAATAGGATTAAAGTGTTTTGAAATGATAGGACACACAACAGAGTGCCTAAAGATACACAATATTTAATGGTTCAAGAAAAAATTCAAGACAAGAAAAAACATTACAGCATATGTAAATGAGCATGTTCTTTTTTCTTTTTCTTTTCATTTCATTTCTTTTTCAACTTCTAGGAGTATTTTACAGGGGTGTGATATCAAGATAGTTGTTCAACAGTGTTCATTTCTTCAATGCTGGCACGTGAAAGCTCACCTCCAAAAAAAGAAAGAAAGAAATAATTGTGAAATACAAAAAAAAAAAAAAAGAAGATGTTTAAATTACAAGCAGATTTTATATATCAGCAGTTTTTTATATTCTTTTCATGTTCTATACAAGATACATAGTGTGTACATACATTATCCGGCCAGATTTGTGCCACTATACATACATGCGCACACACAAACACACGCGCACACATATAATAATATACATTATGCATATGTTTTAAATACATTACAACAGCGATTGTCCTCATTTTCAACTTTTTTCAGTAAGTATAAACCATTTTTTCTTTTGTTTACTGTATACGTTATGACGTTATGTTAAAATATTTTTCCCGGGCTTAATGCTAAGTATATCTATGTACACTTTACTCTTGCTTTTTTTTTCTTCCTTTTTTTTTTTTTTTTTTTCCCTATGGTAATGATAAAAATTTATTTGATTTGTGTATCGACGTGTTGGATGCAAAAAGTGTGATGCCATTCTAATCCTTCATACTAACTATAATACAACCCGAGAGATTTGACAGTACACAGATTCTGATTAGTGTCAGAACAAGAGTTTAGTGCTGCAGAACAGTCAGCCAGCGAAGGTCAACAGGAACACATGCAAATGAAGATGCCTGACTACTGAGATGATCTGCCATAATATTTTCCAGAAAAAAACGATCAAAAATAAAAATCAAAATACACAAATATACGTTTGTTTCAGATGAAAGAACTACCTCATTATCAAGGCTGCTTACATGATACATCAGGGAACCAACTTTTTTAGAAAAGTACAAAAGTGCTAGAGGGGAGAATTACCATGCATACTGAAATTTTCTATGCATTTATTTATCAGTCACAAATATTGTTGTTGTTCATCCATTCTCGCACATTTTTGTCCTCTTTACTTATTTAAACCTTTGGCACTAATGTAGTTGCTCCACTACTCAAAAATGTCAATTTCAGATTTCAGAAAATACTTATCTTCAAGTGCATACATGTATAAAGTCAACATGAAATAGCATTTGCAAAGCATTTATTTTATTCTGTGTATGTGGTAATTTATGATAGAAATCGAATATTCCAAGAACCCACCCCCCTTAAAAAAAGAAAAAAAAAAAAAAAAAAAAAAACAGGATTTCCCACCATTGACAGAAATTTCCATAATTTGTGAGACAATGTCTGTATTTTCCATGTTTTCAATGTTATACGGTAGGGGGCGCTATTAGACATCTTCTGAAAGAGTACAGAATCTCCTGATCAAAGCGCATGTGAAGAAGATGCAGAAACAGTCAATATATAAATCAACTCCATATGTAAAATAATGTGATTGACATTAAACGGCATACAAATCAAAACGGGCTAATTTTACTGAATGAAATGTCAAGCCAGGACAAGCTATTGGACTGTGTAACTTTGGGAGTGTCAAGCTCCACTCAATCCACTCCATCTGTGTTTTTGATCATCGTTCTCAATCTGATCTGGATGTAGTCTTACAAAAAATGTGATTTTTCAAAATGTTTGCTTTATGAAACTTAAAAAAAGTCCTGCTCTCTGTCAAAACTAATATCAACTAAGACCGAATCACACAGATTTTCTACTACTTGATGTCTATTTGAACTTTAAAAACTTGTATTATACAATAGGCTACATGATGTTTTCTGTCTCATTATCTTGGACAAACTGTCTTTAGGCTATGTATTCTTTAACATTTATTCAGATTTGCCATTGGAATGCATATTGGCTCAGATATAATATTATACGATATTTTAATAAATGTTCACTTGTAGTTATTTATAAAAAAAATAAAAAAATAAAAAAATAAAAAAAAACATTGTTATACAGGGGTTATTTGTTAAATAACCACGAAGGGAACATAATTACATTTAAAATGTAAAGCAATATTACGAACTTCTGATTAAAGCACCACCCACCTACGAATATAGATATGAATATTTTGTGCAAGATTGTAAGAGATAAAGATATTGGCTCCTCTGCAGGAATAACAGTTTATAGGGTCAGCTTTGATTTCATGTTGACTTTAAGAATGTAAAACCACTAAAATTATGCAGTTCTGAACATTTTGAATGTGTTATTAGACTCAACAGCTCATTGTTTTTAATTATTGTAAGCTCAAAAGACTTCCAAAAACTGATGCTAATCTTTTAAATAATTTGCAACTTAGTGCATTCTGTGGTGTGATGTATGAACACAAAGCAAAGATTTTCAAACTGTGTTATGCAATACAGACACTACGGCTTATATTAGTATTTCACACCTTGTCTTTCGAGCTTTTCCGATTTATTGTGTGGATTAGGAGAGTGCGAGTTGAGTCGCTGTCCTTACACCGTCACTCGATACTCTTGTCTCAACAATACAGTCACAGCTAGCACAGGGCACTGCTTCCTTCCATTGATAGAGTCCCACACTGCAATTATTCCTCTCAATCATGAGTGTTCGGCAGATTTTATATTGTTGTTTAGGGAACAGCTGCCAGAGTGATTGTCAGTTCTCTCACATCAACACACTTCCAACACGTCTTCGCTGTGACACGTCTCTTGTCGCTGGCACGCACACTATTTTATAGTGAAGTCATTTTTTGGATCACTGACCCAAATATTTCTGTGTCATCAGTATATGAGGACTGTTAGCGAATTAAATTTGTGCTGATTTCTCAATCCGCACAGCCTCTTTAAGGGGTTACTTGATGTCTCTGTTTGAATATACTGAATGTTTCGACAAAAATGTGACACGATTGTAAGCAAACTTCTACTTCAATAAGCAGTCATCACATCCATACAATACACATCTACATCTTAAGGCTGTTTCTTTGACATCGTTATATATAAATCTCACAAACGCTTAATTTTTTCGCAAAGTTTAAAAAGAAGTGCGCTAGCTAACGAGCAGTCACATACGCACACACGCACACACAGAAGGTAGCCAATTATACTATTATAGAGCAGTACTCGGCTTCTGTTACAGTGATTACTGATCAAAGTAATTATACTATTGGGAGATTCTTGTAATTGGTTCCATGACACTTATTGTGGTGCATACATTATATATATATAATGTATGTAGGGGTGCGAAAAAACAAAGGATGTCTTTTTAGCCATGTCTGAGCCTCAGCTAATGAGATAATGTAGAAAATAAGCGGGCTTTTTATAATGGGAGAGAAAGGGTGTCAGGTGCATGGAAACTACCAACACACTAAAAATCTGAGGAAGGCTCTAAGCTCACCGGGGAGAAAAGAGCTAACGTCAAAGTTAAAGAAGAAAAAAAAAAACACCTTATATATAAAAGTTTCTGTGTTAACACCAAGCAAGACTAATTTTTGCTGAGAGGCTTAGCTGTATCTGTAGTCTTGACAGAGCAAGCTGCACATTAAGGGGCATGGAACAACGTCTCTTTAGCAGAATAAAACTGACTCAGGCGGAAATTCAGCTGGAGACGACGCACCTCACCGAAGCCAAAAGAAATACCAGGGTCACCGAGCGCTCACACATAACACTTGACCTTATTGACTATGCTTACATGTGTCGTAATATTCCAAATGCGGTTCTTAACTCCAGAGCCTAATTTTCATTGTTTTGTTTATGAGCGTGTCTGTGTTTATGTGCAAAGCACAAAGAAATAAGCTCTGGCTTTGCGTTAGTGAGCACCAATTAAACCCACGAAGACCGCTAACTGCTGAAATGCAGACGTGCAAGGATGCGGATTTATAATAAGACCAAATAATGTGCAGAATATGCACACAAGTAACAAGAACATGAGTGTTTTTTTTTTATTTTTAAATACTTCAATTTAATAATTATGTATGAATATCGGTGCGCATGTGAACGTATGCAATGATGTCTTCCAGCAGTGTACACTTAAAATTAATTTGCTGTCAAGCTGCACTCAAAAGGTGCACAAAAAAGAAATAAAAATCTCGTCCCTTTTGATCAACAGTAAAGCTAAATTCATTTGCCACTAATCTGTCACTAAGACACATTTAAACCACTTTTTTTTTTCGTTTTCATTTTTTACTTGTGTAGCTACTTTGGTCTATATCTACCATTTGTCTACTTTACATGTTTCAGTTTCATTGAGGTTATTGAAAGCTACTGTCTTTTGCTTTAACTTCCCCTTCTGGCGTGTTTAAAAACATCTCGTGTCAAGAAACGTTTGACAGATGCTAATAATCATCAGAACCCGTCAGCTTTTCGTTTTCAATCACTCTCATTATGCCGTGCTCCGAGGCCTACCCTCGCTTCTACAGCTGATGCTCGCGCAGGAAGGAGCCTCCACTCGCGGACGTCTGAGGGCTGGACGTGGCGGAAAAGCTGGCTAGAGGGATGACCTTGATAGTATCCTCTTTCTTGCTGCAGTGTCTCTCAAGTGTGTTGTAGAATTGGGGCCGGTTGCTCCCTTTGTCCAGATCATCTTTGGGCACTGACCTGCCAAGAGTGTGACGCCCATCTGGCTTGGTCCCCCGCGCCCAGCTTTGTTGAAAACCAAAGGAGGGCAGAGTGGCGGCACCGGACGTCTGGAATTGGGTCAGCGCTGGCGGCATCCAGCAGCTGTCAGAATGACCCAGGATCAGACATTCCTGGGTACAGGTCTCCGAGGCTTCGGCGAGAGCCTTCTGCAGGTTGACTTCAATAGCTGTGGATGATGAAATGACAAATGCGAAGGCTCAGTCAAGAGGTGAACACAAGAAGACAAAATAAATCATACTTTCTCTCATTGCCAAAGCACTTGGAGACAATAAAAAATTGGCGCTATCAAAAGGTGACCTGTAAATGTCAGCTTCTGAGAGAAATGAAAGGCAGTGATAAATGTTTAATTCACCTCATAATGAGAAAAACAACACCGGTTCTTTTAATTTAAATGGTATTCCCATGGTTCTGTGTGTTTACCTACAATATGCCCTGAATTCCCAGTAGCTTCATTAAATCTTTTAAAAAAAGTCTCTGTTGTTTGTGTCTGAGATTGGCTTTTTACATATTAAAGAATTAATGAACTGCTCTAAAACCATTGTTTATTTTAATCCCATTCATCGTGGCGCACCTCTCTTCTGCTGATGTCTCCCACTTAAATCAAGTCAATTAAGATAAAGCAAACAGTAATGCAGGGATTCCTCCTCCTTCGCCTACTTGTTAACGCAGCTGACACGTACAGTATTAGGCTAAGCAAACGTCCTACAGTAGCTGTGAGCATCAGAATGTGATTCACTCGGAAGAAAGAGAGCAGTAAACTACAGGACTCAAACTTTCTTATCTCATTAAACCTGCTCTGACATCACATGCAAGATGTGCCAAGGAAAAGACCTCAGTATTGAGCCCCAGCCATAAAGCCTGTCAACTCTAATAATTAGAATGTAAAACAGTGCTAGCGGAGGCAGGCGGGAGCCCTACAGCAGCGCATGTATATCTTAACCCGCTAAAAAAAGAGGCTGAACATCACTGGTCCCCCCTCTAAGCTGTCATCTAGAAATTATTTAGCATATTTGCATAAGTAAAGTTGTCATAAATAATTAAAAGTGACTAAGGCTGGTTCCCTTTGCACTATATGCTTAGGTTATTTTTATTTTTACCACCAGGATCCAGTATAGTTTTCCAACAAATATCATGCAGAGGGAACTCGGAAAATATTGAACAGCAGCAATACAGAATAAATATTTACACATTTATTTTTAAGTGCACTTAATATATGTGACCAGTTCATGCATTTCCTGGGAATTGAACCTATGAACTTGCTGTGTCTGGCTTGCAACATTTATTTACTGTTTGAGCCAACGATATTTTTTGCAGGATTTGGTTCATCATTAATGTTAGATAATTATGCATAAATGCTAAATAAAACTGGGTAAAGCTGTTATAAATAGTATTAATCATCAAAGAACCCTACAACAACTATCTATGATTCTTGGAACCATAGGCTGCATAATATTGCAATATTTTCAATGAAAACTCATGGATTTGGTAGTGCCTGAAATGTTGACAGTTCCAAGAAGGCAAACCTGTTGACATGTCTGGAGAAGTAAAATGATTACGTATTTGACTGGAATTGCAGGATTTGAGCCACAGTAATGCTAATGAACATAAACATCTGTCAATTAATCCAAGAAACGTTAATTACAAATAAACAGTATTCAGTGTTGAAGAAACACCAATAAAAACAGTTTAACAGTTTACCTCCTCCCATTGGAAAATAACATCTGGAATGCCACTAAGTCAGACAACCCCAACCTCAATGGGAAGGTTCGTTTGATGTAATTTCCAAGATGGAAATGACAGGGCTGCAACAAACGATTATTTTGATAATCGATTAATCTAACGATTATTAGAACGATTAATCGACTAATCGTCGATTATTTTTGCTGGCTAAGTTAAGTTTGGAACGATTATTCAGCTTTTTCAATTAGTTAAAACATTGAGTTATGCATATTCTTACTGTAATATAAAAAAAAGAAAATCATTTTAACTTGAAACAGTTGTTTTAATGAACTTAGGGCCAATTAAACAGGTCATTCTCTTTAAGTTTTCATATATCAGTCCAACTCAAATCACACACAAGCGCTCTAAGCATTGTTCAATAGGCCCACTGCTTTTCTTAGAACTGACACAAAAATGGTAAAATATTAATCTGCAAATCATTATTATAAATATAAAATGATTACAATATTTTTTTCATGACAATTGAGCTGACAGAGACACTCTTATTAGCCTTTTAATTTACAGAATGAATAAAATGATATTCTTCCTAACATCTCCTTTTGTAAGTCTTCATGATTATGGAACCAAACACAGGCGAGTGATAAGACTATAATACCTAATAGTTTTACAATAATAAAAACACCCCTGACTCTTAAGCTCGATCAAGCTTTATTATATGCAAAATAAATCATCACATTACTGCAATTATACTATTATTGATTATATTATTATTACTAGTATTAGTAGTATTGCCTTATCTAATAAAGAGATTTACGTTGCCACTAGTTAGTTAGCTCCAGCTGGAGAACGCTCAATTCTCAAATGGGAGGTTTCCCAATCGTTGCTAGTTCGGATTCGTTTGCACGCCGTCATAATTTGCGCTGTTTTTTTTTTTCTTTTACCGCAGTAGCATTTGTAAAGGGCTGCATTACACTATAGCGCCATAGCGATCAAATCACGATATTGCACGCCCTTACATTAGGACAAGTGTGATCAAACGACTACTTCAACGATATTTGTCGACAATGTCGACTAATCGTTTCAGCCCTAATGAGCATACAGAGCTGGTTTATGGGTAATGTAAAAGTATGTATTCTGCTGCATGTATGAACATTTAATATGTAATATAACAATATTTTGTGTATAAATAAATACCTGTTTTACTTATTCAATAACTAATAGATAGACATGAATCTAGAGCTAAAGTCTTGAATAATGTACCACTATATTTAACATTCCGTTGTATAAAAGTTCACTTTAATAGCGTACTGATTATGGGACAGTCGGAACTTTAATTTACGATTTTTCCATAATTGGAAATATTGGCAGCTTACTTGGTTTTGGAACAGAGCTGCAATATTGTATTTGGCATGTCGGTTTGTTTTAGTAACAGGGAACTGGACAGAATAGCACAAATATAGAAAGCTAGAAACAGAAAGAAAGTAGTGAGAGAGATGGTGTATACTCTGCTATAGTCTGCCTCAGAGCATCAGTGCATAAATCAGTGGAGCGGTAAACGTGTCACCTTTCAGAGGGTCACTAACTTCATTAAGGAAAAATGATGCCGCTCACTCATTCTCTGAGCAAGCAGAATGAGTCCTGGCCAGGTCTCTCTCGGAGGCTGCTGTAAATCACCCCAGAGCTGCTTTGGAAATTGGAGGTGTCTTTCAGAGCCATTGTTCTTTTGAGGGCTGAGCGCATCACGCCACGGTGGACAGATACTTGCGCTGGCAGACACATGTAGCGGCCCTAGCACCTTTAGTGCATTTGCCCAGCAGGTCTGTATATGTGCGTGCATGTGAAGTCAATCAGCACAAGCAGAGGAGAGTGTGCGCGCAATTACATTATGTGTAAAGGTGTTTTGAAGCCACGCTGCGTGTCTTTCCAACGTGCAGAGGCACAGCACGAGCTGTCAGCGGCGCTATGTCAACAGCCAGGAGAGCTACTATTTTTCGCATGTGATATTTCACATTAAACAGCTCCACAAATGTAGTCCATATCAGTTTCTCCTCCACAGGGACTAGTACTGCTTGACTGATGTGGGTGACAGCCCTGAATGCTTTCGTCAGCCGGAGGCAGCGGCTCACTCTGATGCTGTTTAAGTGCTTTTTGTATTCAGGGGGTATCACTACTCTCCCGTCGAGCTTTTAAAAAAGAATCAACCCCCATGTGCTCCGGTCTCCGCATATATAAATGCTTGTCGGAAAACCTTGCGTTTGGGGGTAAGAGAGCATTTTGATTTCCTCCACAAAGATCTCCGGCAGATGATTGGATGAAGTTGAATGCTGTGTGAGGTAAATTATATTTACATTATCGCAAAACGTTCCACTTAAAAATGCCAAGCCTATTTACTTGGAGAGTAATAGGGCTTCTAATAACGGTTCACATTCAAAGCAAATTGTTTGTTGATTGAAACATTTCGCGAAATGGCCACTGGTTATTGATCGATGTCCCGGGCTGATTCACACTTGTAATTAGAGCGGTGCGGGTGCTTGAAGAGGTTTTCAATCTACCCCTGCAAACATTGTCTAACGCTGTCATCAGAGATTGGTAATCAGATTGCTCCCGTATGATGAACATCAAAAAAGGCCTCATCTATCCTGAATTTATTTTTCCCAACTAAAATGAAAGAAAAAAAAAAAAAAGACTGAAAATTAATTGTTATGGAGTTTGTGACATCTCACCCATTTACTCAGAGATACCAGGTTGTAAAACAATGCTGTTGTGGAAAGTAAAAACTACAACAGTTAACATACAATTAACAGACATGTTGCTTGGCTATAGTTACGTTTATGCAAAGGAACTGAAAGCACACTATATGACAGTATGGGTCACTCCTAGACAGCAAGTGCGATGAAACAGTGTTCATGGACATGCTGAAGTCAGACAATAAGCACGAATGACAATTTATGACAGGGCTGTTAAGCAAGGCAGCGCGACCTGAATATATCTTGATGGGATTTACATCAAGGATGCCACAGAGATGATTACTCAAGTCATTATGTTAGCATGTGCAAACCCATTACTTCCAATTAGAGGGCTAATTGCATAAATACAGAACATCATCGCTCCCTGCTCTCTCTCTCTCTCTCTCTCTCTCTCTCTCTCTCTCTCTCTCTCTCTCTCTCTCTCTCTCTCTCTCTCTCTCTCTCTCTCTCTCTCTCTCTCTCTCTCTCTCTCTCTCTCTCTATCCTGTCTAAACATTATCTGGTTGACTGTAGAGCTTAAAGTGTAAATTGCAGGTTACTTTTTTCACAAAGATAATGCAATGTTCTTACTAAACTAATAAGAACCACCCATAATTGTTTTTATTTTTAATTTTTTTTAAATACCTTATAAAAAGAAAAAAAAAATCGCACACCTGCAATTGGTAGGTGCGTAGGAAAAACGACCAAAAAAAATCAGTCGAAAATGTGCCAAAGAGGAGATCTCGCACACTATCAAGTG